AAGGCCAGCCAAGTTCTTTATTACAAAACACTTTTTCATCAACTAATTTTTCGCATTAAACAAATGTATCATCATTGTAAGCAATAACAATGTAATCACAGGTGTGAAGTGCTAGTCATACCTTCTCTAATATAAATTAAGAGAGATGAGTAACTTAAAATTTAAAATGTTTATCTGCATGTCATCCCAAATCATCTCATGTCACTATTTATATGTTTATTTTTAAGTTAAGTTTGTTATCTTATTTCCCCAACAAGCCCATATTTTTTATTTTATGTGTTAGACATGTTCCATATGAGTAAAGTCTGATGTGTGAGCTCTGAGGAACTGTCAGTCACTTTGTCCCTTCTTTCATTTTACAGATGAGGAAACTGAGACCCAGTACAGGGAAATGACACATTCAAGTTCACACAGGTAGGATTCCATCTCAGTCTTTTGATCTCCAGTTCAGGGGTCCTTTTACTACTTTAACTGGGCTCCTTCCCCAGTTTGGAATCACTCTAAGACAGAAAGGTAAGGGTGAGTCTGGCATACTTTGTACTAAATGCCAACGGCATCATAAGGAAGGTGCGATGTACCAAGGGCTAAGGATGGTGACTTGGGCTGACCAGGTCTCCGATACGTGAACCAAGTTAAGTCAGGCTTTGTAGCAGTTTTTATGGCCACCAACTGCAGGTTTATTGCCACTCAGGGCCTGATTGCTGTTTTTTCCCTGATATTTAGTGGACATTTTCTTGTTATAGCCTCACTCCAGCCTATAGGCATGGGGAAAACCATCTGCAATATCTCCTATTCATCTATTTCAACAAGAATCTTAAAAAATAATAAACACAGTGTGGATGGGTGGGTGGGTCAATGTGAAAATGAAACTGAAGAAAAGCTGGCATAAAGAACTTGTGTCTAAAAAACAAAAGGGCCAGCATCTTGGAACTTTCCTCAAGCTTGCCAAACAACTCCACTCCGCGCAATAATGTTATTTGATATTTGCCTAATGGGAATGATAAAGTGAGGGCAGAGATAGGCATCTATTTGTAAAATTCCACATTGATTTTTTCCCCCTTATATATGCACCCAGACACAGTGGTGGCGAATGATCTTTTAAAAATTTAAAAATACATTAAATAGATGAATGAGCCTCCAATAAATGTGTATGTGAAGAGTTCTTTACTTGACACGACTTTCTGCCACGAAAACTAAATGCATTCCCGGAACACGCTACAAGTAATCTCTTGACAGCTACTATTTTGGACACTGATATTTTATACCCGTGTTTAAAGTGAACTCTGATATGTTTTGACTCTTTGTTCTTTCTCTTTTTTGTTCACCCAGTATCTAAATCCTGCAATGTTCCTTTGCAAAACCTGTCCTTGCCTCTCCTCTTCTCATCACACCACCCAGGCTTTTTTTTTTTTTTTTTTTTTT